GGGTTCTCCCTCCAACCAAAAACGTTTATTCAAAGGGCTATCCTATGGGGACAGCCGAAGAACCCTTTAAGATTCTAGATAGCACCTTTTTTTCTAAGGCTGCACCGTCGAGTGCCAAATAATATGAACATCCAAAACAGTGCTTAAAAATGTTTTAAAAAATAACACTGGTTAAAGGACAAATCAATTCAGAGGAATTTTAAAAGGGACTTGTGATTTTGCGACAGAGACAAATACAAGGTTTTCTTGTTTTCTGGCCTTCGCCAACCACTAATAGAGAAATACCAACTCAAACGATCTGTGTATTTAAACCCCCATCTCCAGTATATGTAAGAGGGGGGCTGTTCATTCCAAGTTTCAAACACACATTCAGACTCACATCTCCATTCAAAATGTAAGAGATCGGTGCTATCAGACCACATTGTGTATTCGATCCAAACCGTATTCATGCCATTTGTAGAGACGATCCACAGGCAAGACAAAGTGCAACACAGACTCAATGGATATTGTGAGGAATGTCAATGTACGCTGTTGGTCTCCACCATATAGTCAATTGTATCCATAAACTGCCTCTTTCTCTCTCCACCCCTCCCTCTCTCTCTGTCTCTCCATCTTCTCTCACTGTACACTTGGGAGTGAACAACAGAACTCTCTCTGCCAGACTACGTTACCCAGCGTGCTCCAGTGGGCAATAAGCCCTGGCTGGCGCTATGCCATGCCTAGTGGGCACAGCATGCTTAAACAAACACACTCACATTAACCCCCATTCTCCGATCGCTCATACACAACACCCCACTGGCCCGGTAGCAGGGGGAGGGAGAGGTGGAGAGAGAGAGAGAAAGAGAGAGACAGAGAGAGAGAGAAAGAGGAAGAGAGAGTTTCTGGCAGCGTGTTCAGCTTGCCTCAAACGCTCCAATAAAGGCCAGATGAAGAAATGTGTTGGTATTAATAATAGTAAAAATAAAGACGTATGTTCCTATTAAACTTCCATTGTCCAGCCAGAGTGAATAAATTAAGAACTCACACATATATTTCTATCAGCTGACCATGAATAATATAATCTGGTCCCTTCAGCTCTGAATAGATGTTGAACTCACATAGAATCATACTAATACTTATACGCTTTAGAAAGATCTAGTCGTGTCTTAAAAGGAAAAGAAAAGTATTTGGGAGCTCTTTATGTTCGGACCGGCTTCATGGGCCGAAACACGTCCTTCAGTATATTGCTGTGAAACGCATCAAAAGAAGTCAAACTCATGTGTGCTGTCCATCTTCATTCAGCCATTCATTCACTTATCTTATAGCACACTTAAGATGTAGTCATGGGTTAATTAAACACAGTAGCCTTTGGGTTGGTCTTTGTTTACTGAATGGCCAAGTCTTCATGGCCTTGAAAATACTACTATGAAACCAATCAAAAGACCTATCCTAACCCATCAACACTGCCAATCTCTTTTCTCTTTTCTAGCAGTCCATCTTCACTCGATCGTTCATTCAATCAGCTTCATTCAACACAGCAATACCCATAGGCTGAAGATCAACAGTCTCCAGTATACAGTAGAAGAGGTCCCACAGATAATAATGACTATATTAAACAAAGAAGAGAAAGAGGTCCTCTGTGTATTCTAATCACATCATATAGGCCTATTAGTACGGTGTAATAAGGAAGATTAATCACACACACACACACGGACAAAGTGTTACACACACATACACACCCAGCATGGTCACTAGAAACAGACGTCAATTTTGGACATTTGAAAAGGTACACACACACGCATGCGCACTCACAGCACACACACAGAGAGAGACCCCGCGCACACACTTTAAGATCTAGTAATGGTTTTGCATCTGGTGTTCAGTTCTCCTACTGTGTGGTGCTGTAATGTGCTGTTTTGGTCTGAGAATCATATAGGAGCTTTCTTTAATGAAAGGCAGGGAGCGGTAGTGGGGGTAGGTGAACAGCACGCTCCAATAAATTACAGATTTATGCATCCCTTGGTAACACGGAGGTTTACAATATTGATCCAATACACAGCTACACACACACACACACACACACAAATTCCTTCAAACACACACACACACACTCATATATTAATTCCACGACTAAGCACACACCAAACCAAAACCACTCCCTCTCTTCTTTGCAGCTAGTCAAACACACATAAACCAAATTCTTGCTCAAATATCACCTTCACACAAAAGAACAAATTATTGAATAACTTTGTGGAATTTGAATATGATTTCTAGCTATGTAAAAGTCAACATTATTTTTAACAAAAAAAGGAGTTGCATGTGCGGAATGCGTCAATCCTCATAATGTATATGTATATGTGTGTGTTAAAATTATCTTTAACAGTACCTTAAGAAAGCACAGACCGGCATGGCCCCATTGGCCCAAATACTGATCACTTTTAACCTACCCAACCAGATTGTTTAATGGCTGGTTCTTATGTAAGGCTGTTATCTTAACCAAAAAAAGCACACACACACACACACACACACACACACACACACACACACACACAAAGAGAGAAGGGTTATATAAATGTAGGGTTAAGTTGAGTAGACTGTACAGGGCTTAGATTTAGGGATTTAAAGGACTTTGATCTGAAACAGGGAGGGGGAGAGGAAGACTGACATTTTTAACCCAAAGTTCAAACACATTTATGACATCATATTTGTCAAACCCTTTAGTACTGCTTTAATGAGCTTACACACCACAACAGCAGCACAGCATTTTAATAATCACCTCAGCTCTCCAAATACAAACTTTTGAAAATATCTTCGTACCCTAAATAGTCTCTAGAGTAAAAAATAAAGTGAGTAAATATTAAGATTTAAAATGTAATTTGCTCTTGTTTTAGGCAGTGTGTGTGTGTGTGTGTGTGTATGTGTGTACACAGCACAGATGGGAGAAGTGGCTCAGTGTCTCTGCAGAAAGGACAGTGGATTACTAGTCAGTGCAGTCAAAGGGCAGGTTTTAGCTAGTAGCTACTAATGGCACCTCGAACACTATAGACACACACAGACACACATTGTGCTTATCGATCACAGCAGTCTGTCTGTCTGTCTGTCTGTCTGTCTGTCTGTCTGTCTGTCTGTGTCTATCGTCTTTTAAATCCTTACATCTAAACTCTGTACAGTCTGTTCTCAACTTAACCCTACATTTATATAACCCTTCAGTGTGCGTGTGCATGTATGTGTGTGTGTGTGTGTGTTAGGGTTAGTGGTGGCAGATTGCAGGGCGAAGGTACACCTGATAAATGACAACACCTGTTTTTCAAAACCCCCATGAGAGAATTAACTAGATGAGAAAGTAGGAGGCAAATCTCTGGGGAACCCATCTGTGTTACTGAATGACCAGATATCTGGAAACTAGAAAGAGAGGGATGGAGGGAGAGAGACACTGAGGGATGGAAAGGGGGAGAGAGAGAGAGAGAGAGAGAGAGAGAGAGAGAGAGAGAGAGAGAGAGAGAGAGAGAGAGAGAGAGAGAGAGAGAGAGAGAGAGAGAGAGAGTCCAACAGTGACCAACAGTACAAAATCCCCATTATCTATGAAGTCTTTAAGTCTCTCCCTTTCTCAGCCAAGCAGTTATATAGGCACAATTACATATGAAAAGGTATAGACTCTAATAACATTAACCTTTGGGCTCTAGCATACAGAAGGCCTATGCAGTTCACTGATGTCAATAAGCCCAAAGGCAAATACACATACAGTTAGATTCACCATGGAAACCTGGTGGGAGGCTGATATTGAACATATGAAACATACATTACATACAGGGGGGCTATGTGGGCTAAAGATCACTACACCCAATCCAACCTCCTAAAAACAGTCCAATGAGTTTATTGATGTGCAACAGCCCATATAAAGCATCAATAGATAAGCTGACTGACATCCATGGAGAACATGTCTGTCTGTGACAGAAGCAGACTTGGTTTAGTTTTGAAATGTTAAACTATTATTTGGAAAGGAGAGAATTAAACACTTCCTCTGAATTGTTTTATTTTTTATGATTTGCTCTTGTTTCTCAAGAGAGGATGACAAGAGAAAATGTGTCTATATTTGGTTTTTGATGGATCATATTGGTTCTATTATTATTATTTTGGAAAGAATATCCTAAATTGAGATGAAACGGTCAGTCAGTCCGGTTAGCCTAGCAGCAGGGCAGGGGCCAATACTATTTTCACACCGAACAAGACCAAGCTGTGGGTAGGCCTATAGCCTAATACCCGATACAGGATACAGCCTAGAGCAGGAGTGTTGCAGAGCGATATATATAGGTTACCTATAAAAGGGAGATTACAAAATGGGTTTTGAAATTGAGGAAACCGATAGTTTTTAAGATCATAACGATTTACCGATTTAACAGGATTAAACAAAGCTAATGAAACTACAGGATATTGGGGGAGGGGCATAATGAAAAATCCAAAATATCCTATATTGATATGAAAATACTGTCATTATGCTGTTGCCTATTAATTTTAGCCTATTGAAGAAACGTTGGACCGATGATCAAAGATCAAAATAGAATACATTGCATTGAGTGGGATAACGCAGCTTTCCAAAACAACGGAATGTCCACTGCATCGGTTTGCATTACAACAACAAGCTATATCTAGTTTTAAAATATACATACATATATATATATATATATATATATATATATATATATATATATATATATATATACACACATATGTATATATATATATCCTAAACAATCGTTTGCTGTAAACTGCTAACATTTACATTTAAGTCATTAAGCAGACGCTCTTATCCAGAGCGACTTACAAATTGCTACAAAACAAATCTAAACTGCAGAGTTGTACAGCATCAGTTACATTGTAACGAATGATTTCAACATGTACTACAACAACAAGAACGGTCCATGTTTTCAACTGCGGCCAGCGAGATGAAGCGCAGAGTCCTTTTCTTTGTCATCCCCCACCCTTCTTAAAATACTAAAATTATTTTCTGTGACATTTCCCCAATGCAGCAATGCGCGTTCCCCGGTGTCGACGTCCAGGGCAACAAGGTAACGCGCAGCACCAATCCCGGCTTCAGTTCTGAAGGTGGAACGCGCACTGCCTTCCCCCAACAATAATATAGTAGGCCTACAATAAAATGAGCAGCGCGCACACAGGCACAGCAAACCCTTTCTCATTTGCTGAGCTACAATTCCGTCTGCACACGTGACACGCCCTGCTTACAATAAATAAACACCAATGAAAAAAATTGACAAAAATTGTTCCCTCACTTCCAAATCACTAATAACCGAGAAAAACACCCTTATCACATCCACATACAATAACAACATAAACTATATATCGCTGAGACACATGACAATAAGATCCGAAGCTTAAAAAAACTTTAACTATATATTTGGGTAGGTCCGGGGGGATGCTGCGGGCGGTGTTCCCGCGCGAGGCAACAAATAAATGACAGCTCGCTCCGCTCAGCGCCCTGGCTCGCGGACAGCAGCAGCAGCGTCAGTTTTTCCCCAGGACACAACAGCCAAGCCATTTAAGTGTTTTCTCCCCAAACCACGCGCACCCTGGCTCTCCAGCCGAACCTCTATGCAAGGCGAAACGAGCTTACCTACACAGTGAATGAGTTTGTGTCGCCACGAGTCAAGTTCCTGCCGAAAGCCGCGCCTCTCGATCGTGCATTGCTGCCTTTTGCACAGACTCGCCATTTTCTACCGGGCCCTCCCGCGGACGCGCACATTCTGCTAGGTGCTTGTGCGCATACGTCACCAATACTTTTTGAGGGTTATGGGTGGAGTAGAAAATGTAGGGGGGACTTATAGCTGCAGCATCCGCTCACGGTCCCACCCACCACCACCCACCCGAAAGACCCCCCAACATCTCAGTTCTGTTGAGAGAATGAACGTCAGTAATGGAATTTAAACCTGCAACAAAAGCATATGGTTCAATAAAGAAATGTATAGATTGAATTTGCAGTGTGTAGGCTATGGTCTAAATTTGGCAAATGTGTGTCAAAGGGCATCAGTGCGTTATGAGTTTTAATAATGCGCAGTGGATTGCCTATACATTGCAATGGTATTTAGATAGATAATGTATAGCCTATGTTTTTCCATATAACCGTCATAATGAAAGATAAAGGTAAATGATTACCATATATTTAATACAAGTAAACAGGAGATAATTATAATTCAGCGTTAACATATACAATGGATATACAGGGAAGGGAGATTTAATCTAATTATTCTTCATATTTCTTGCTTTGTGTGTTGCTGTATGAAAAGTGTAATCAACTTTATACTGAATCGAAATTACACTGTTCATACCCGGTTGGCATGGTTATATTCTGTTCTTTCTATTCTAATCTATTCTAATTATTTTATATTCTATTCTAATTCAATTTTATTCCATTCTATTTTTATTTTATTCTATTATTTTCTAATTCTTTAATACTCTAATTCTTATTCTATTCTATTCGACCTCTGTCAAAAAAGGAAAGAAAGGGGGTTTCTAAGTTGTAAACGCAGAATGAGTTTATTAAAAACTGGTCAATTTTCACATCAATGTTTTTTTTCTTCAGGTTTCCTTCAACTTAATCACATTAATTCAATTGCGATCTTTATGACTTCCTGCTTGCCATGTGGTATTTTTCAGGACTAAAAGAATGTCCCCTCTACTTTGCCATATTGGTTTAGATATCATCTGCTTGGTGACAAAACCCTCGCCACCCATCGCAGCTGTTCTTTTGCGCTATATGGTCAAATAAATCAGAGTTTTCAATGAAACCCGACACCAAAGTATAATTACCAAATTGATACACCAAAGTTACATAATATCATTAAAAAGCAGCCTCAATGGCGGTTTATATCTCTTCAGAGACGTGGACGGCACATAAAAGGCAAGGGCAAACGGTTTAACAAGGAGCACTCCGGCTAATTAAACCGGCGAACTCCATTGAAAGAGGGGTTGCCCTTCACAAAAATGTATTCCATAGCTTCACTAGAGAGGCGCAGACAGCCAATCGGATGAGTGTTTGAATCAAGGTCAAGTGAAAGATGCTCAATAGGACCGCTCCACCTTGGAATGATGCTGAAGCCTCTTGCCAGGAGATGCGAGGCTACGAAAAGCTAATTTTCACTGGAAGGTGTAGAATCATCCACCAACCGTTTTTCTTTCAGTGATGTAGGAAAGGTGGATTCTCTTGGTGTAAAAATACCTACCAGGTAAATTATTTGTTTGTTTATTCGCCCTGATATCGACTGTCAGCCTGTGAATCTGGCAATGATGATTTCCTCAATGCTATGCGCCGGATACGTGAAAGGGAAACATTTTAGACTGGGGATACTCACGCTCTATTGTATTGATTCCTACATTAAGAGAATAACAATATCTATTAATAAATGGATTCCTTTTCTTATTGTTAAAGATATAAAAGTGTTTTGGTTTTATTAAAATGTACTGATGTAACATATCAGTTATATCCAGAGGAGAAAGAAAGAGGATGAGAATCCTTCAATCGTCCCTGTGTGACAGACACAGCCTAGTCTACGTCAACGAGCAATGGAATATCTCGATGGACGTTCCATGCTTAGGCTATAACTGTGTTCTTGATAATATTATTTCTCCCAGACCCTGCCATCACATCTATAGGCTATAGTTCGGGTAGGCCATTCGTTCGTTCAGTAGGCTATAGCCTGATAATTCCTTTTCATTAGTTACAAAGATAATAAAGTCAACATTATTAAAATGCCTAACGTCATGGCGCTCATAGGTATATTTTACAGTCTCTGTACTGTATGTAGCCTACGGCAAAATAATGCCGAGATCAGCTCTCTGTGTGAGTTAATCCACGGGTTGTCCAGGCGAGCGCTTCAAGATGTGCGTCAAAATGTGTCTCAATCAGTTTAGCACTATGTGGGTGTTTGCAGAGCAATCATACACCCATTAAGTTAGAGGGGCACAAAGTACATGAGGATCGAGGTGGCTGGGGGGTGAAGTTGGCGAATTTTGTATTTTTCAAACACGTGAAACAGCTTTTTGCTGCAATCTAAAGCCATAATCATTATGCCTAATTCTATGTCAAAAATATGTCTATTTTTCTGCATAGGTTATCTAAGCGTACCTCTTTACCTGTTCAATTGTCATTTTAATTAATGATGCACTTTGATTCTTTAAGAACTTTTATGCCTTAGGAGTTTAGTACAACTGCCACACTGGTATATAGTATCATAACCCAATAATGAATTGTGTGTGTGTGTGTGTGTGTGTGTGTTTACAACAGGACCTGTGTGATATGACCCTGACAAGAGGATCCTTCACCTATTCCAATGGTGAAGAGTACCATGGGGAGTGGAGGGAAGGCAAGATCCCTCTATCCCTTTATCCCTTCACTCATCCCTCTATCCCTTTATCCCTTCACTCATCCCTCTATCCCTTTATCACTTCACTCATCCCTCTATCCCTCTATCACTTTACTCATCCCTTAATCACTTCTTCACCCCTCTCTTTGATGCCCTTTCATCTTTCCATTCTTCTGTTACTGTCCATTCATCCTGAATCACATCACCTCATTATTTTATTTATTTATTTATTTATTTTCTAAAAGGAAATAACTAGGGTGAGGAGTTTTTTGGGGTACTTTTGATTTGAAGGCATGTATGGCAGAAGGAGTCTCTGGTTACCATGGAGACAGCTTGATTCACTGACTGAAGGTCTCTCGTCAAAGAGATGCATTTATTTTGAGAGATCTGGAAATATAATTTCTACATTCAAGACCGGAAAAACAAATTGATAATAAAATACCTTTCTTTTAGTTATTTTTTTCTGTTACTTTCTAGCATGTCAAGCTAACTTACAGAGATACCTAGCTAGCTGGTTGATGTTTTCCTTTTGCAACCAGGGTAGCGAAAAGCAACATTCACCTCCACAAATGCTGTTTACATTTATATCCAGACTGAATTAAGCACTTAAGGGACCTCATGGGCTACCCTTAACTTTTTCACCTAATTTAATGGGGAAATTTGCCTTAAAATGTTTTGTGCAACTAACTTAAAGTTAAGGAAACTTTAAGGGAAAGATGAGGGGAAAATTAACTTAAGCTGTTTTATGCAACCGGTCCCTGGTCCTAATCATATATCATGGCCTGGTCCTAGAAATAGCACAAGTATACTGAACAAAAATATAAACGCAAATCAGTCAATTAAAATAAATTCATTAGGCCCTAATCTATGGATTTCACATGACTGGGACGGGGCACAGCCATGGGTGGGCCTGGGAGGGCCCACCCACTGGGAGGGCCCACCCACTCCCACCCACTCCCACCCACTTGGGAGCCATGCCCACCCACTGGGGAGCCAGGCCCAGGCAATCAGAATGAGTGTTTCCCCACAAAGGACTTTATTACAGACATAAATATTCCTCAGTTTCATCAGCTGTCTGAGTGGCTGGTCTCAGACAATCCTGTAGGTGAAGAAGACGGATGTGGAGGTCCTGGGCTGGCGTGGTTACATGTGGTCTGCGGTTGTGAGGCTGGTTGGATGTACTGCCAAATTCTCTAAAACAATGTTGAGAAATTAAAATTAAATGATCTGGCAACAGCTCTGGTGGACATTCCTGCAGTCAGCATGCCAATTGCATGCTCCCTCAAAACTTGAGACATCTGTGGCATTGTGTTGTGTGACAAAACAGCACATTTTAGAGTGGCCTTTTATTGTCCCCAGCACAAGGTGCACCTGTGTAATGATCATGTTGTTTAATCAGTGTCTTGATATGCCACACCTGTCATGTGGATGGATTATCTTGGCAAAGGACAAATGCTCACTAACAGGGATGTAAACACATTTTGAGAGAAATAAGCTTTTTGTGCGTATGGAAAATGTCTGGGATCTTTTATTTCAGCTCATGAAACATGGGACCAACACTTTACATGTTGCGTTTATGTTTTTGCTCGGTATAGATACAACATTTATGTACGCCAACAATACACTTCAGACATTAAAGTCAAGTTAGCAGGTACTTTACATGCTCAATTCCCTCTCTGGATCTATTCCTCACTGTGTCAGCCTCAGGTGTCTGGAGGTTTATTCAAGTTTCTCTTCAAACTAATCAAAAGTCTCAACTCAGTCCAGATTGTTGCTTCTGAGTAGAGAGGAGTGGTAGGCTGCAGCCTAAGGGTGTGTCGTCTGTACTAATTATAGGTCAAAAACAATATCCCTATCCACCGGCAATTCTCTACAGACTATATACCATCTGCTGTCATAGCGACAACACATATACACACACACACACACACACACACACACACACACACACACACATACAAATACACACACTGATGCGTTATACCCACATTAACGCTACACTGACTAAACCAGTATTTGCAGTTTGACAAAAACACAAGATGTCATGGTAACCCCAGGGATAAAGGAAGCCATAATAACTACAGAACAAGTTTGGAGCTATTTTAGAAAAGGTTCTGTTTAACTGATAACATATGGTGGCTTCAGAGAGCTCAGTTGGCGTGGCTGGTGTGTTGTTTAGTTCCCTTGTTGTAAGGGTGATTGATCTGTTTGTATTGACAGGTATAGCTAACAGGTTGAAGTGTGACACACAGGAGACAGGCTGACTGATTACATATATTTTAGCATCTTTTATCATCCACCGTTCAAGTTTTTTATTAGCTAAGAAAGAGAACTTTGAGAGAGATGTTTGTGTGTGTGTGGGTGGGGGGTGGGGGGGTCAGTGCACTAGGACTATTGATTGACATAAAAGCCGACACATTCAGCTAAAGCTAAATTAGCATGGCAACCGTGGCAACCGTGACCTAACAACAAGATTGTCCCCGACGACTCGTCGCTAAGAACCGTTCACCAGATTAAACTCTGAACTGATTTATGGAATCAAACTAGATGAAAGGAGAGATGGGCAGCTTGTAAGTACAGTAGAGTACACAAGCTATTAGCTGGTCACAAGCTTGGCCTTTAATTAGTGCTTTTATTGTTTTAGACTGTTCTTTTTATTTTCCACTTTTTACTGCTTCTTGTTTGCTTTGACTTATTTTCATTGTATTGTTTTAATGTTAAGTGTGTTTCTATTTTTAATGCACTTTAAATACAATTTGATTTGATATGATCGAGTACCACTACTGCTTTAGCTAAACAAGTACGGCTAATTACTCTGTACAATAGGGGGGAAATAATTAGTTGTAATACTAGGGGGAAATGAATTAGTTGTAATAGTAGGGGGAAATTAATTAGTTGTAATAGTAGGGGGAAATTAATTAGTTGTAATAGTTGGGGGAAATTAATTAGTTGTAATACTAGGGGGAAATTAATTAGTTGTAATAGTTGGGGGAAATTAATTAGTTGTAATACTAGGGGGAAATGAATTAGTTGTAATAGTAGGGGGAAATGTGTGTGTAGTAGTACATATCTGGCTTGGAAACAACTTGTGGCATTGATAATAGTTCTGTCAAACTGTCAAGTCATTTCCCACAAATTAGTTTTGTTCAGAATGTGTGTTAGAGAAACATGGGATAGAAATACACTTTTTTGTGTCCTTTAAGTTTTAAATTGTTGCAATTCCACCTCGCTTGCCTTGTGTAAGCCGACTAACGTCCTTGCTAGTCAGTGGAAGGAATCCTCGGGAATTGTACTTACTTAATTCTACTTGGCTTGGACACTGAGATTTGTGGGACACAAATCCCCTGTCAACCCCGTACGACACACACACACACACACACACACGCACGCGCAGACACACACACAGACACACACATTCCGGAAGGCTCTTGACTGTATTTCAGCCAGTTATATTTAACTTGCCGTCCAAATCTATTTAAAAAAAAAACCTAACTGAGATTAGAGAGAGGAGGTTTGCGTAGTCATAGTGACAGATGGCACATCTAATTTAGTAAATCTACACCACTAGCTGGCAGCGCTGTGCTCTTTCATCCCGTTCCTCTCCCTCCCTCACCCACCCCTTCCCCTCCCTCACCCTTCCCTCACCCCTCCTCATTCCTCTCACCCCTCCTCCTCTCACCCCATCTCCCTCACCCCCTTCCTAAATCCTAATACTGTGTAATACTCATTTAGTACACTACTACCTGGCAGGAGAAAACCACACACATTTCCCTCACTCACCCTCACCTCCCCCTTCCTCCCTCCCCCTTCTCCCTTCCTTTCCCTCTCTCACTCTCACCTCCCCTTCCTAAATCCTAATCCACTGTGTTCACTTGTGTGCTCCGCTACTTTACGTTCAAACGTATTGCTTCCTAAATACCTACGGAGCAACGAGAAGCTCTGAACAACATTTCACCTGACCTCATTCAGTAGACCTCATTCAGTAGACCTCATTCAGTGGACCTCATTCAGTAGACCTCATTCAGTGGACCTCATTCAGTGGACCTCATTCAGTAGACCTCATTCAGTGAACCTCATTCAGTAGACCTCATTCAGTGGACCTCATTCAGTGGACCTCATTCAGTGGACCTCATTCAGTGGACCTCATTCAGTAGACCTCATTCAGTAGACCTCATTCAGTGGACCTCATTCAGTGGACCTCATTCAGGAGACCTCATTCAGTGGACCTCATTCAGTGGACCTCATTCAGTAGACCTCATTCAGTGGACCTCATTCAGTGGACCTCATTCAGTGGACCTCATTCAGTAGACCTTATTCAGTGGACCTCATTCAGTGGACCTCATTCAGTGGACTTCATTCAGTAGACCACATTCAGTGGACCTCATTCAGTGGACCTCATTCAGTAGACCTCATTCAGTGGACCTCATTCAGTGGACCTCATTCAGTAGGCTACAATTTGGAGAAGGTTGTAGCCTACAATACACACAGGTTTAAAATACAAATACATAAAAAATGTAGGATTTATTTTTGTAAAGTGTGTTGAGACTTGACTTGAATGCCTCCTAGAGGGTATTTGTTAAATCTCCATGGACTGACAGGACAAAACATCTACATTTTACATTTACATTTTAGTCATTTAGCTTCTTCTTTTTTAACTCACTATATTTTTTAACTCACATTCTTTGCTAGAAGTGACAAGGCAGCCTGTTTTTTAAGTTCCAAGTACATTCAGAGACCCTGAGAGTGGTATGTCTTAGAGCAAGAACATGTTGTTAGTCCTACTTCACTGTTAAATGACTTTTGATCCAACTACCCATGAAAAGTGTAACTACATCTGTTACAGAGACCCTGAGATGTGTGTTTGAATAGAAAAGGCCTAGAAATCCAAAAGCAGCAACAGTCTAGAAGTTAACAAGGACAAAGGCAAGACAGGCGACCTCTTTTCAACCTCCAAGAAAGTTCAGAAACCCTGAGATAAGAGGTATTCGGACCAATACATTTTTATTCCTGACCCAAACACCCCATGAAAAGTGATGTGAGTTTGAATAGACAGGACTGGAACTTCAAAATAAGCTGCATGTATAGTCTAAAGAACAAGGACAAAAGTTGTTTGTGAGTGAGACAACAGACAGCTAGACAGACAGATAGACAGCTAGATAGACAGCTAGACAGACAGCTAGATAGACAGACAGACAGCTAGACAGACAGATAGACAGCTAGATAGACAGCTAGACAGACAACTAGACAGACAGGTAGACAGCTAGATAGACAGCTAGGTAGACAGCTAGACAGCTAGATAGACAGCTAGACAGCTAGACAGACAGCTAGACAGCTAGACAGACAGCTAGACAGCTAGACAGACAGCTAGATAGACAGCTAGATAGACAGCTAGACAGACAACTAGACAGACAGGTAGACAGCTAGATAGACAGCTAGACAGACAGCTAGACAGACAGCTAGACAGCTAGATAGACAGCTAGACAGCTAGACAGACAGCTAGACAGCTAGATAGACAGCTAGATAGACAGCTAGACAGACAGCTATACTATAGAGCTGATGGTTTCATATGATCCAATAAGCTCTTCACCTTGTATTAACCTCTTACACGAGGCATCTTTATCCTTTATCCACATGGTGAATTATGAAGAATTATTATAAAAATAAGGTGGTCTTTTGATGTCTTTCATTGACGTTTTGGAGTGAATCTGACATTTTTGCTTTTTGTCCAGTTTGGGATTTGACAACATTTGTGACAGTCGCGCTATTGCAATTTTATTTTGCACTAACTTGCTCGCTCGCTAACTAACTGATAACTAACATAACTAACTAACTAACTTGAAACTAACTAACTGATAACTAATACACTTGTAACTAACTTGTAACTAACTAACAACTAACTGACTTAATATTTTATATTATTTAACATTTATTTATCCAATAAAGATTAAATAATTAAGAACAAATTATTATTTACAATGACGGCCTGGGTAACTAACTAACTAACTGGTTTGTCTGTCCCCCAGGTCTGAGACATGGTCTAGGCCAGTAACTAACTGGTTTGTCTGTCCCCCAGGTCTGAGACATGGTCTAGGCCAGTAACTAACTGGTTTGTCTGTCCCCCAGGTCTGAGACATGGTCTAGGCCAGTAACTAACTGGTTTGTCTGTCCCCCAGGTCTGAGACATGGTCTAGGCCAGTAACTAACTGGTTTGTCTGTCCCCCAGGTCTGAGACATGGTCTAGGCCAGTAACTAACTGGTTTGTCTGTCCCCCAGGTCTGAGACATGGTCTAGGCCAGTAACTAACTGGTCTTGTCTGTCCCCCAGGACTGAGACATGGTCTAGGCCAGTAACTAACTGGTTTGTCTGTCCCCCAGGTCTGAGACATGGTCTAGGCCAGTAACTAACTGGTTTGTCTGTCCCCCAGGTCTGAGACATGGTCTAGGCCAGTAACTAACTGGTTTGTCTGTCCCCCAGGTCTGAGACATGGTCTAGGCCAGTAACTAACTGGTTTGTCTGTCCCCCAGGTCTGAGACATGGTCTAGGCCAGTAACTAACTGGTTTGTCTGTCCCCCAGGTCTGAGACATGGTCTAGGCCAGTAACTAACTGGTCTGGTCTGTCCCCCAGGTCTGAGACATGGTCTAGGCCAGTAACTAACTGGTTTGTCTGTCCCCCAGGTCTGAGACATGGTCTAGGCCAGTAACTAACTGGTTTGTCTGTCCCCCAGGACTGAGACATGGTCTAGGCCAGCTGACGTTCAGTGATGGGACGTGTTACACGGGTCAGTTCGAGAACGGACTCTTCAACGGCTGTGGGATGCTGGTCTTCCCTGATGGTTCCAGGTAACAATGTCTCACCATTCCCATTTCACCTTTGACCCTGCTAATGACATTACAACTGTCTGATGTCTAAAATGACACCCTATTCCCCATTATAGCACACTTCTTTTGACTGATGCCCTGAATCGTATGGCGAAGGCAAAGTGGTGCACTGTAGAGTCATTAGATATTTCCCCTGATCATTTTCTTAATGTGTGTAACTGGAAAATACTTGAATTCCTTACCACTTGCATGTGATTTTGCAAACAGATGTTCTCTTAGTGTTGTCATTTTAGACGCAACAGGCAACGCTTTTCTCTAGATCCAACTCTACGCCGATGTCTACGCCTTTCCCCCTTCTGATAACCAGGTGGTGAATCGCATCTCTGCATGTCTGGCAGACATATCAGTATGGATGACGGATCACCACCTCAAGCTGAACCCTGGCAAGACGGAGCTGCTCTTCCTCCCGGGGAAGGACTGCCCGTTCCATGATCTCGCCATCACGGTAGACAACTCCGCTGTGTCCTCCTCCCAGAGTGCGAAGAGCCTAGGCGTGACCCTGGACAACACCCTGTCGTTCTCCGCCAACATCAAGGCGGTGACCCGCTCCTGCAGGTTCATGCTCTACAACATTCGGAGAGTGCGACCCTGCCTTACACAGGAAGCGGCGCAGGTCCTGGTCCAGGCACTTGTCATCTCCCGTCTGGACTACTGCAACTCGCTGTTGGCTGGGCTCCCTGCCTGTGCCATTAAACCCCTACAACTCATCCAGAATGCCGCAGCCCGTCTGGTGTTCAACCTTCCCAAGTTCTCTCACGTCACCCCCCCCTCCTCCGCACACTCCACTGGCTTCCAATTGAAGCTCGCATCCGCTACAAGACCATGGTGCTTGCCTTTGGAGCAGTGAGGGGAACGGCACCCCTGTACCTTCAGGCTCTGATCAGTCCCTACACCCAAACGAGGACATTGCGTTCATCCACCTCTGGCCTGCTGGCTCCCCTTCCTCTGCGGAAGCACAGCTCCCGCTCAGCCCAGTCAAAACTGTTCGCTGCTCTGGCACCCCAATGGTGGAACAAGCTCCCTCACGACGCCAGGACAGCGGAGTCACTCACCACCTTCCGGAGACATTTGAAACCCCACCTCTTTAAGGAATACCTGGGATAGGCTAAAGTATTCCTTCTAACCCCCCCCCCCCCAAATTGTAAAGTAGTCCATTTGGACGCAATGTTGTTGCTTGCAACATATTTAGACCAAAAGTACATTTGGACGCAATTTCTGTTGCTTGCAACATAATTAGAACAAACCTCCTTAACCTTGAGAGAAAAGCCTGATCGAGACAATTAAGTGTAAATTGCTTTAACAAGGATCACGGCAACGTCACGCACTGCGCAGCTAAAGTAAAACATATTGTTGCACAAATGACTTTTTGTGCTACATATTGTATTCCGTGTCACAGAGCACGTAGCAGCCCTGGGTTGTGAGAACAGGAGATTGGATCATTCCATCAATGAAGATTCTACCCACCTCAGGTCAAGGTTCTCTGTGACAGCGTTCTGTGTTCTGACAGCGTTCTGTTATTGTTAGAGACCTCCTGGTGACATCTCTCAGCTGAATTATACCTATAAAATGACAGCATAGCTCACTAAATAGTTATGCACCAGACATACATTTTTGAGAATCCACTCAAAACAAACAAGACAATCAGTGTGCAGAAACAAACTCCTTGACATTGGGGTCGGGTTCATTATAGTACGCCATGAAAAACACTTTTAAACGCTTTGCAACAGAAAACTAAAATCAGAATTCAGAATCACCTTTATTCGCAAAGTACATTTACACATACTCAGAATTGTACTTGGTGATATGGTGCTGCTAGTGAAAGACAACATTTAGAGACAGAATACAGACAATGGAGTTTAAACAAAGTTTACATACATTATATACAACTAGGCAGAGTGAGCATAGAGCTATAAGAGGATTAGCAGATATACAAATACACAGTGGGTATACGGTTGATACACAGTGGGTATATGGTTGATACACAGTGGGTATACGGTTGATACACAGTGGGTATACGGTTGATACACAGTGGGTATACGGTTGATACACAGTGGGTATACGGTTGATACACAGTGGGTATACGGTTGATACACAGTGGGTATACGGTTGATACACAGTGGGTATACGGTTGAGACAGAGTAGGTATACGGTTGATACACAGTGGGTATACGGTTGATACACAGTGGGTATACGGTTGATACACAGTAGGTATACGTTTGATACACAGTAGGTATACGGTTGATACACAGTAAGTATACGGTTGATACACAGTGGGTATACGGTTGATACACAGTGGGTATACGGTTGATACACAGTGGGTAAACGGTTGATACACAGTGGGTATACGGTTGATACACAGTGGGTATACGGTTGATACACAGTGGGTAAACGGTTGATACACAGTGGGTATACGGTTGATACACAGTGGGTATACGGTTGATACACAGTGGGTATACGGTTGATACACAGTGGGTATACGGTTGATACACAGTGGGTAAACGGTTGATACACAGTGGGTAAACGGTTGATACACAGTGGGTATACGGTTGATACACAGTGGGTAAACGGTTGATACACAGTGGGTATACGGTTGATACACAGTGGGTATACGGTTGATACACAGTGGGTAAACGGTTGATACACAGTGGGTAAACGGTTGATACACAGTGGGTAAACGGTTGATACACAGTGGGTATACGGTTGATAGACAGTAGGTATACGGTTGATAGTGGGTATACGGTTGATAGACAGTGGGTATACGGTTGATACACAGTAGGTATACGGTTGATACACAGTAGGTATATGGTTGATACACAGGGGGTATACGGTTGATACACAGTGGGTATACGGTTGATACACAGTAGGTATCCAGTTGATACACAGTGGGTATATGGTTGATACACAGTGGGTATACGGTTGATACACAGTGAATGTACAAATGTATAGTATCAGTATGAATGTCTAAATGCAGATATGAAGAGAGTGCAATGCAGTATAGTGCAGTTATTTAGTGTACAGTTCAGAGATGGCTTGATGTGGTGTGCAGCATAGAGTGCATAGTCCTTTAGTCTCTATGGGCCAGATGGCCGGTTGGTGAGGGCCACAGGCCGGGGGAAGAAACTTTTCATGTGGCAGGAGGTTTTGGTCATGAGTGATCTGAACCGCCTGCCAGATGTGAATTTTTGGAGGAGGGGGTGACCGGGGTGGGAGGGGTAGGCAATCTTTCCTGCACGCTCCCTTGCCCTGGAGACGTGCAGGACCTCGATGAAGGGCAGGTGGCAGCCGATGACCCTCTCTGCAGACCGGAAAATGCTTTGCAGTTTGACCTTGCAGCGGGCAGAAGCAGGCCCCAACCGGACGGTGATGGAGGAGGTGAGGATGGGCTCAACGATTGATGCGTAAAACCGGATCAGGATTGACTGGGAGATGTCGTTTTTTCAGCTGCCGCAAGTAGTACATCTGCTGCTGTGTCTTCTTGGTGACCTCTGTGATGTTGTCCTGGGAGATGATGGTCCCCAGGTATCTGAACGATTCAGCCGTGCTAACAGCTGAGCCATCAATCTCAAAGCGGAGAGATGGTGGGGCGTTTTCTAAAGTCAACCACCATTTTCACGGTTTTGTCTGTGTTGAGTTCCAGGTTATTGCGACTGCACCGGGCCACTAGCCGGTCGACCTCTCCAAGGTACATGGACTCATCGCCTTCGGTGATGAGACCGACCAGAGTGGTGTCATCTGCAAGTTTGAGTAGTTTGACAGATGCGTTGTTGGAGGTGCAGTCATTGGTGTAGAGTGAGTAGAGACGAGAGCACGCATCCCTGCGGCGCTCCAGGGCTGAGGGATAAAGAGTCCGAAAGGTGTATTTCCAGCTTCACATGTTGCATCATGTTGGACAGGAAGTCAGTGAACAACTGACAGATGGAGCTGGACACGTTCAGCTGGGAGAGTTTGTCTTGTAACAGTTCTGGGATGATGCTATCGAACGCTGAACTAAAGTCCACAAACAATATCATTGCATATGTCTTTGGGTTATCGAGGTGTTTGATGATGTATTGTAGGCCCACGTTTTGTGAGGTAGCCGAGCGGTTAAGAACGCTGGGCCAGTAACCGAAAGGTCTCTGGTTCAAATCTCTGAGCCGACTAGGTGAAAAATCTGTCTATGTGGCCTTGAGCAAGGCACTTGCACCTGTAAGTTGCTCTGGATAAGAGTGTCTGCTAAATGACTAAAATGTAAATGTTGACAGCATTGTCCACAGACCTGAGCCTTTCTTATTGGACAAACCCAGTTAGTTCCTCCCTGTTTCAGTCTGTTTTCTTCCATTTGGTGCCTAATGAACACACCCCACTATTTTTGCATCTGTGTGTCTCTTGCAGGTACGAGGGAGAGTTTATTCAGGGGAAGTTCCAAGGCGCAGGCGTCTTCAGTCGTTTTGACGGGATGAAGTTCCAAGGAGAGTTCAAGAGTGGATGTGTGGAGGGATACGGTAAACAGTAGAAGGTTAGGTTTAGGTTTAAGTTAATGACATAAACCTGAACTTGAACTTAAACTTGACCTCCGCAGGTATGCTGACGTTCGCTGACGGAGGTCCAGAAAGCGGGCGAGGAGGAGGAAGAGGAGGGACGAGCCACGAGGGTCTGTTTGAGAGCGGCCAGCTGGTGGGCAGAGAGGGGTGCCAGGGCACGGTTCAGCGGGCACAGGGGGCAGCTGCCAAGGCACGGGCACTCTCGATGTGACCTGCAGCTAGGGGGCGCTACTCAGGGAGCAACAACAACAATAGGGTAGCATTTCACTATCATACTCATACCCTTCTTTTTCTTCATTCTGTTCTGTTTCTTTACGGTTATACTCCTCCATACACTGAGTGTACAAAACATTAAGAACACCTTTGCCCTCAGAACAGCTTCGATTCGTCGGGGCATGGACTCTACAAGGTGTTGAAAGCGTTCCACAGGGATGCTGGGCTATGTTGACTCCAGTGCATCCCACAGTTGTGTCAAGTTGGCTGGAAGTCCTTTGGGTGGTGGACCATTCTGGATACGCACGGGAAACTGTTGAATGTGAAAATCCCAGCAGCGTTGCAGTTCTTGACACACTCAAACCGGTGCGCCTGGCACCTACATCATACCCTGTTCAAAGGCACTTCAATCTTTTGTCTTGCCCATTCACCCTCTGAGTGGCACACATACACAGTCCATGTCTCAATTGTCTCAAGGCTTAAAAATCCTTCTTTAGCATGTCTCCTCCCCTTCATCTACACTGATTGAAGTGGATTTAACAAATTACATAAATAAGGGATTATAGCTTTTCACCTGGATTCACCTGGTCAGTCTATGTCACGGAAAGAGAAGGTGTTCCTAATGATTTGTCCACTGTAGGGCTGTTATGGTCACCATATTACTTCCACACCAGCAGTCACCAGTCATGGCCACAGTTAAATTCCACGTGACCGTTGAGTCACGGTAACTAGGCTTCTCCAAATGCGCCGATGCCACTGATAGTCATTAGTAGCCTACCAAACTTGCTAACTGCCAGTCGCTAATGGCCGGCCCTCAGCGCTCTATTGTCCCTCTAATCACTCTGACATCAATGCAAATGCATTCAAAAATAAAATCAATCACTTCACGAGAGCCCTGGCATTCAGAGTGTGAGTGGAATAGGATCACCTGTTGTGCAGCGAGATCCAGCTCCTCATAGCTGGTTGATGCATTGAATGAAATAAGTGTTCCTATAAGCCCATGTTGCCTCCTGTAGCTCAGTTGGTAGAGCATGGCGCTTGCAACGCCAGGGTTGTGGGTTCGATTCCCACGGGGGGGCCAGTATGAAAAATTTATGCACTCACTAACTGTAAGTCGCTCTGGATAAGAGCGTCTACTAAATCTCTATAGGCTAGGCTATGCAATTGTGTGAGAAAACAGAGTTTTGATGGTCTCAATTAAAAAGAGGAGGATCCCATCAACTATCTATAGGCTTACTATGTTTATTTCTCAACTTCCCTAATATTAAGCATATTGCTTTGCTTTACAATCGGAGTAGCCTACCTGGCTGGCATGAAAATGAACAGTGTGAAAAGCGTCTTCCATTCGCTGTTCAAGTGTATACGGATGACATGTCTTTTACCCCGCCCCTGTTCCGACAGGTGCATGATAATGCCCCATTCTATACCAAAATTAATTTCACACATATATTATTTAGTATATGTAAAGACACATTTATAATAGTCTGATGGGTGAGAATATTATCCCTTGTGAATGATGCCCAGCGTGTGCAGTCTAAGGTAAGAAACAGCGCGTGCATTCTTTTGGCAACTTTTATTAAATCATAGTCGCATGCATCGTGTGGCCTAGCCCACAGGCCTATATGTTTTGATAAGGATTGTATCACAACTAAAGTGGCCAAATAACTTCAAACGTAGCCTACAGGCCCAAGACCCCTGGAACAGGGTTGGAGAGCCCATAGCCTACAGAGCCTAGTGAAACGTGTTCTTATAAGCCCAGTCATTGCGCAGTCGCGTGTGAAAAGAGAGTTTTGACTGGCCACTATTTAAAAGAGGATCCCAGCTTTCTCTTACTGCAAAATGTATTGCTCAATTCTTAAAATTAAGTACATTCATACACTTTACAAATGGTGTACCCTACCTGGCATATTAAAAACGTAACCGCACGTAACATTCGCTTTTCGAGTGAAGGCTACGGATTATATGTTTTTTTTTTGTGGGCCATTCTAAATAAAAAATAATTCCACACATATATTAGTAGGCTATATGTAAAGACCAGATTAAATTGAGAATAGTCTGATGGGTGAGAATATTATCAGGTGCTTGTCAAATTGTGAATGAGAGACTGATGAAGTGTGTGCAGCTTGCGCAAGCAGAGCTCATGCCTTTCATTAGACTTTTTTCAAATCATCATTAGTCGCATCATGCGGCCTTAGAATGTATTAAAGATCTGAACATATAGCCCAACCTTTGTATCACAACTAAAGTTGCATAAATAACTCTAAATTAAGCATATAGGAGGACCTGTTTCTTTGTTAACCGCTCAACACAGAATAGCTGCATGTGCGCACTCCCTCGGAAAACGTTTGGAGAAAATGTCCTATCTATTTTATTCAGCTATGTTCAATTGTATTCTTCATACTATAAAATAATAATAAGCAAATCCAGTCTGCTAAATGAACTAGTGTAGCCCACAGCCATATGGCATAGCCAGATCAGGGCCTAACATAAGGACAACTCAGAGTATGTTATTCTGTTCTTCTGAAAAAAACGACATTTTCTTCATATCATAATGTTTCTTTAGACCTGTCTAAAATAAATAATGGATTTATTGTGACGGTGTAGGCTATATTACATGGATTTATTATACTTTTTTTTAATGTAGATTTTCCAAAAGGTCCGCACCAGTGGCTTGTTGGCTATGCGTGGAAGCCAGAGATGCTAAACATGTTTATGGTAATTAGCGGTCAATTACTGTGACAAAATGTGATGACCGCCAGCCCAGTGTAGCTCAGTGTATATTCCCTTCTTGTGTTTCTCTCTTTTCTTTGTTTATCTTGATCTGTGTGTTTTTCACACCCTCTCTTTGTATCCACACCTTTCTCTATCCACGTCTTTCTATTCATCTCTAACTCTATCGTGTGTTTTCCCCTCTGGTTGTGCTTGCTTGGTGCGCTACATGTCAGTAGACTTTACCCTCTACATCACAGTCAACCAACGAGCTACTGAATCTGATCCAGGATCTGCTGAGCCAAAACCCACACCTCCTCCTCCCCATCCCCAACCATTCATTCAACATACGGGTGCTACCTACCGACTGCTAAATATGTTCTCAGATCAGCTCTAACCGACACCAACCGCAACTACTCTGGAGTTGAAACTAGTGTCCAAGCAGGTAGAGACTGTTTTTGGATCTGTCACATTTCCACCACAGGGTTTTACACCGGTGCTTGGCCTAAAGACTCAGACTTCACACCGGTGTCCCTCTGGAAAAGCAGCATTAGAGACAAGAGTCTCAGTATTAGAATCCAGAGTCTCAGTATTAGAATCCAGAGTCTCAGTATTAGAATCCAGAGTCTCAGTATTAGAATCCAGAGTCTCAGTATTAGAGGCCAGAGTCTCAGTAGTTCTCAATAGATGCCTTGGTAATGTTATTATAGCTAGCTAGGGACTGGAGTATTCCCCTGCTAGCTAGGAGGACAGGAGATTTTCCCTGATCATGTGATCTGCCCAGGACAAAACTCCAGGCCTTAATTATTGTTGTCTATGCCCCCACGTTCTTCCTGGTCTGGTCACATGGTTAGGAAAAGCTCCTGTCCCTGGTTATAGCTCCTGTGTTGTGAGGTTGGGAAGATGGGGTGAGGGGGTAGGAGGGTAGGACTATTGCTGTGTAGGTAGGGGTGATGGTAGGAGGGTAGGACTATTGCTGTGTAGGTAGGGGTGATGGTAGGAGGGTAGGACTATTGCTGTGTAGGTAGGGGTGATGGTAGGAGGGTAGGACTATTGCTGTGTAGGTAGGGGTGATGGTAGGAGGGTAGGACTATTGCTGTGTAGGTAGGGGTGATGGTAGGAGAGTATTTTCGTTGGATGGTACGGGATGGCTGCCATATTGGGCCAAACGACAAGTGTGTCTGCATTAAGATGACACTAGTGCACTATATAGGGAATAGGGTGCAATTTGGGACGCAACCATAGGGATAAAGTCGGACAGTGGCGCACAAGTTTTGATTCGTCAACAAATGTTATCACACAGTAGAAAACCACCATTACAGGAACACACAGATGAACTTACTGTACAGCTGTTCCCTTCCTGTATCTGACAAATATGTAATCTTCTATTTTTTACGATAAATATAATAATAATAATAATATAATAAAATATCTGACAAATATGTCACGTTAAATGTTCAATGTCAGTATCTGTTTTCACAGAAAAAAGCAGAAAGAAAGAATGAAACAATGAAAGTTTTGAACTAACTAATCTCAAGTTTTGTGCATAACGTCTCTGGATGGCGGTGGTGGGGTGTCTGTCTAACATGTCTCATTCATTTTTGGGGCTCTAAAGGGCTTTTCACATTAGTGAGCCGAACAGAGCCGAGCCAAACCAAGCTATACTGAGCTGGCCTTGTTAAGCATCTACCATAGTTGCTGGGACCGAGCTGAAAAGGACAATTGGAAAACAAATTCTACTAACATATATGAGCCAGTATGGTTTGGGTCGGTATGACAGTTTGAAAAAGGTATTTGTGTGCCCTGTATGAAATCATGGCTTCTCCCTTAGTATCACGCTGTAATCACTGAAAACCTGTTCCGTCTCGATTTGAAAATATGACACTCCAGAATGACATATCCTTTCGCTTCTGTGTATTGAATCACCTTCCACCTGTTCTTGTACTGTACCATCCAAATGTATATACTTCACTCGAGGAACACATCCTGTTGTTATATAGAATGTCTCATATGGTTTTGATGATGAGACACGTTTTAGCCTTAAAAAGGTTAGATGTGTATGACAGTGTTGCTCAAGCCATTCCCGGGGTTACATGTTTTTGTTCTAGCCCAACACTAATAAACCTACAGTGCCTTCGGAAAGTATTCAGACCCCTTGACTTTTTCCACATTTTGTTATGTTACAGCCTTATTCTAAAATTGATTAAATTGCTTGTTCCCCTCATCAATCTACACACAATATCCCATAATGACAAAGCAAAAAGAGTTCAGATTTTTTTGGCCAGTGTTTAAAAATAAAAACTGAAATATCATATTTACATACGTTTTTAGACACTTTACTCAGTACTTTGTTGAAGCACCTTTGGCAGCAATTACAGCCTTGTGTCTTCTTGGGTATGATGCTACAAGCTTGGCACACCTGTATTTGGG